TTACTTTCTTCACATGCGGCTGCTGGAGGCCAGGGAGGCAGCCTCCACACTGGACCTACAACAATAGTTCTGAATTATTATGTACATCAAAGGTCCTTCCGGTGATAATAAATGTTAACTGAGAACAATCAGTGCGCTCTCAACATCATTCTCTCTCAACATTCTTACTGTATTGGACGTTACAGTAAGAATGAATCATAAGTTGACCAGACCACACACTAGAAGGTGAAGGGACGACGACGTTTCGGTCCGTGCTGAACCTTTCTCAATTCAAATCGACTTGAGAATAGTCCAGGACGGACCGAAACGTCGTCGTCCCTTCACCTTCTAGTGTGTGGTCTGGTCAACATAATTTAGCCACGTTTAGTCACTCATCGCCTGGAAATGAACCACAAGGTTCATTAAATTGGATCCGCTAGGTGGCGTTCCTCGAGCAAGAGGTTCACCAACTCTTAACATAAATATTCTGTTGTGAAACGTTTCTTTATCAATGTACTAAAATAATATGCGATATATAACAATAAACGAACTTAAATTAAGCTTAGATTGTTTAATGACTTTGTATAACGAATTCATTAAGCATCCCTCTGCTGACGAAGGGATTCGTAATACAAACTTACTTCTAATCATATTATAAAAAGTCATATTCGAGATATTTTTTGACATGTTAACGAACTGCTAACAAATACTGACTGTTTAAACATCATTTAATTTAAGAATTAGTTTGTATTCGGCATCAGACGAGACGTGGACAAATATTATCCAAGAACAGTCGGAAGGTAGAGGAATCTTTCACGAAAGCGAGGCATTGTCAGGAGGGAATAGGATGGTTCGGTTGTTAATGATGTGTGAAGGATAGGTTGGGTGAAGGATAGTTTGGGTGAAAGATAGTTTGGGTGAAGGATAGGTTGGGTGAAGGATAGTTTGGGTGAAAGATAGTTTGGGTGAAGGATAGGTTGGAATAGAAATAAGTTGGAATAGAGATAAGTTGGGATAAGGATAGGAGAAGGATAGAATTGGAGAAGGATAGGATGGGGGGGGGAAGGATAGGATGGAAAAATAAGTTGAGAGACAGACGTTTGGGAGACGTAGAAGTTGAGAAGGATTAAATACGTTTGGTTGGTTAACTTGGTTTGGGTTGGTAAGATATTGAGACAAGTTGACTTATTGTGCACTTAGAAAGATCACTGCCTATCTTGAGATCTTGAGATGATTTCGGGGCTTTAGTGTCCCCGCGGCCCGGTCCTCGACCAGGCCTCCACCCTCCAGGAAGCAGCCCGTGACAGCTGACTAACACCAAGGTACCTATTTTACTGCTAGGTAACAGGGGCATAGGGTGAAAGAAACTCTGCCCATTGTTTCTTTCCGGCGCCTGGGATCGAACCCAGGACCACAGGATCACAAGTCCAGCGTGCTGTCCGCTCGGCCGACCGGCTCCCCTAATATTATTAAAATGTCAAATTCTAACCCAACAAACCCAATTCTTTCCTAATAGAAGAGAGTTATTTCCAGTTGTCCCACTAAGTAAGCTAGCTGTAAATAGTGTACTTAAGTGCTGTTTATAGCCAAAGTGGCTGTCTGTTTTGTACATGCCCAGGAGTCACTTAAAAAAGATTAACACTTTTATATCTCTCTGCACTCTATGCCACGTCCAACCACTTGGGCTGGACGGTAGAGCGATGGTCTCGCTTCATGCAGGTCGGTGTTCAATTCCCGACTGTCCAAGTGGTTGGGCACCATTCCTTTCCCCCGTCCCATCCCAAATCTTTATCCTGACCCCTTCCAAGAGCTATATATTCGTATTGGCTTGGTACCTTCCCTAGATAATTCTTCTATGCCACGTGTAAATTGGGTAAGAGAGAGGGCCAGAGTACTCGGTAGTTAAAGGTAATATAACTACCATCCCCGATGGTGCAAGGTAGTTAGCCCCCATGCCATTACTCAGCCCGCATGTTTGAGCACAAGTCTTCCCAGTGTGGGACACACTACCAGCAAGCACCACAAAGTTACACTGTAATTGAGGAAGTACACTGAAGAATGGAGGTGTGAACGAGTTGAAAGAAGCTGTAAGAAGGTCAAATATCATATCAAAGTTTACCCATTTCATTACTTTTTTTCACATGAACTGTAAAACCAATGGCCTACAATATTGCTTTATATCAGTATTACAAACACAGCTAAGACTTCCACCAGTGGGGCCAAGAAACACCTGAGATTCTCAAGACTTCATATTCCTAATTTCACATCCAACACAAAAATCCTGCATGGAAAGCTGCCTTGTTCTCATTGTGTCCCAAAGTGCCCATGGAAATACGACTAAAATTCTTTACATTTAAATAAAAACAACACTCCCGTATTGCACGCTTACTGGAGACGTATTGCACGCTTACTAGAGACGTATTTGCACGCTTACCAGAGACGTATTGCACGCTTACTAGAGACGACGCATTCACACCGTAACCTGTAGAAAGGAACGAATACATTCAAGGAATATATATATGCATGACAGTATTTGTTGACGTTCATGTTACCTGTGAAAGGAAGACGTTGCGTGACGCAGGTGGACAGCGTTGCGTGACGCAGGTGGACAGCGTTGCGTGACGCAGGTGGACAGCGTTGCGTGACGCAGGTGGACAGCGTTGCGTGACGCAGGGGGACAGCTTTGCATGACGGAGGGGGACAGCTTTGCGTGACGCAGGGGGGGACAGATGTGAGGAGTGATGTATACAAATACTGTCACTTCTTTATATTATAAGCCTACGGCCTCCCCCTCCCCCTCCCCACGACGCACAAGTTGCAATATCGCTAATGGCTACAGTAACAGCTTTCTCTCAATTATGTCTCTTTGCCGAAGATGAGAAATAGAACCTTTGCAAGATACAACGAGTCTTTAGCTGCCGACTTTGCCAATAACATTAATGCCTTAGCGTGTCTTGCAGGATATCAAAGGCCCTGGAAAGCGAGGAGATGTGATACTATTGCCTTCATGAGCGCCTTCGGCCTCTCAAAGATGCAGCAGGCGCTCAAAGGCAGTGCTCGAAAAGCTATCGAATGCTCGCTCGCTCATCATGTCTTCAAGCGCTTGTTCGTTCTCTTTTTGTGGGCGCGCACTCTTCTCTTTCTCTTGTATGCGCTCTCTCGAGTTCTCTTTCATGCGCACGGTCTCTCGTTCTAATTTTTATGCGCACGAGGGTTCTTTCCCTCGAAAGAATTATGTCTAAATGGTGCAAAAATTCTAGTTCGTATTAAGAAAATTGTGATGTGCACAGTTCAGGTATATTAACGGAGCCCAGAGTGATTACCGTAAGAGTTGATCTAGCCGTTTTGCTCCAGAAATTATGCTATAAATTCCCATATTCGCCCTTTAGAGAACCACATTATAAAACTAATTATGTCGTTTCGCGAAGCCTTATCAAAAGCCTTTTCTCGTTAAGGAAAACAAATAGCCCAACTTTTGTATGTTAATTTAAGGGGGCATTTTGAACGGCTGTCAAGAGATTTAGTTCATTCATCTTTCCCTAAGTCAAATAATAGTTTTTTCATATGCAAGATAAGGCGGTGAGTAAGCGGTTTTTGTCCAGGAGTGTACATACACACATGTCTGTATGCGATACGTGTGTATGGACATTATTGCCAGGTTTGAGAGAGGAGAAAATCGTGGATAGTTTCCAGTCAGAGGGTTCTTCTTGAGAGGTTATCTTGAGATGATTTCGGGGCTTTTAGTATCCCCCCGGCCCGGTTCTCGACCAGGCCTCCACCGCCAGGAAGCAGCCCGTGACAGCTGACTAACACCTAGGTACCTATTTTACTGCTAGGTAGCAGGGGCATAGGGTGAAAGAAACTCTGCCCATTGTTTCTCGCCGGCGCCCGGGATCGAACCCAGGTCCACAGGATCACAAGTCCAGCGTGCTGTCCGCTCGGCCGACCGGCTCGAGAGCATTAGTCTTCCTCTATAGATGATAATAGAAGGAGTTGGCAGAATACTTTTTATGGTGAGGAGTCGAACTTTAGAGATAGTGAACAAATCTTTGTAATGTGTGAAATCGAACTTACTGTGATTTCATTGTGCTTTAATTTAAAGATGGTTCCAGGTATGTAGGGGATATAGAGCATCTCCAATAATCGATCAATGCGATCGATGATTATCGGGTTGTGGTAGGCAAGTGTGGTAGAGACCGCACTAGGCTATCAATTTGATTGAAAGAATCATCACAGAGGAGTCTTTCACTAACATGTTATAGTTTAGAAACAGGCGAGGACCCCAGAGATTGCTATGGCAGTCCTCCCTTAGTGTGTCGAATCTTCAGGAAATACCTAGAAATTAGGGAGAAGAACTGGAAAGTTATCGCCACTTAACTTATCTCATGTTTTCGCCTGAAACCCAGAATAGTTATTACAACTGATCAACGAATCCAAATTTGCCCAAAGGGATTTCAAACAACTTCTTACGAACGCGACTTAAACTGCCTGGTTATCAAGGTCACTTACACGACGCCAACAGCCACAGATGTCGCGGACGAAACCCCCTCAAATACCCATCCATAGGACCCCCTATACCATATCTTGAGGTTATCTTGAGATGATTTCAGGGCTTTTTTAGTGTCCCCGCGGCCCGGTCCTCGACCAGGCCTCTACCCCCAGGAAGCAGCCCGTGACAGCTGACTAACACCCAGGTACCTATTTTACTGCTAAGGTTAAGGGGCATAGGGTGAAAGAAACTCTGCCCATTGTTTCTCGCCGTGACCGCAGACTTAGCAGAAAAGGTCTTTCTTTCACACATTCATAAGGGTGAACCCAAACTTGAGAAGACTTCCTTCATCACCACCTCGGAGCTCCCAGTTGTAAACAGCGGGAGTAAGAAGTTCCTCACCAGTTTCACGTTTTAATTAAAATTTTATTAATACAATCTAAGAGGTCATCGTCGCCGCCTATAGCCTCTCACTGACGATATTCCACTCTACGAGCGGGATGTTAGGAGGAGGTTATCTCTCGTTGGCCTGTTAGAAGCTTTGTTGGTCTGTTAGACGCTCTAGTTGGCCTGTTAGAAGTTCCTTTTTGCTTGTTAGACGATCTTGTTGGCCTGTTAGAAGTTCCTTTTTGCTAGTTAGACGATCCTGTTGGCCTGTTAGAAGTTCCTTTTTGCCTGTTAGACGATTTTGTTGGCCTGTTAGAAGTTCCTTTTTGCCTGTTAGACGATCTTGTTGGCCTGTTAGAAGTTCCTTTTTGCTTGTTAGACGATCCTGTTGGCCTGTTAGAAGTTCCTTTTTGCTTGTTAGACGATCTTGTTGGCCTGTTAGAAGTTCCTTTTTGCCTGTTAGACGATCTTGTTGGCCTGTTAGAAGTTCCTTTTTGCCTGTTAGACGATCTTGTTGGCCTGTTAGAAGTTCCTTTTTGCCTGTTAGACGATCTTGTTGGCCTGTTAGAAGTTCCTTTTTGCCTGTTAGACGATCCTGTTGGCCTGTTAGATGTTCCTTTTTGCCTGTTAGACGATCTTGTTGGCCTGTTAGATGTTCCTTTTTGCCTGTTAGACGATCTTGTTGGCCTGTTAGAAGTTCCTTTTTGCCTGTTAGACGATCCTGTTGGCCTGTTAGATGTTCCTTTTTGCCTGTTAGACGATCCTGTTGGCCTGTTAGAAGTTCCTTTTTGCCTGTTAGACGATCTTGTTGGCCTGTTAGTAGCCATGTCGACCTCAAATTCTTGTGGCCTTGTTAGTGGATAACTTTGCCTTACGTGCTTGTGGCTATACATACTAAATCGCACGCTAATACCTAATCAATGGCGTGCCCATTGGCCGAGCACGTTTAACTACCCACGATTCTATCTCCTCATTACATCAAGAGTACTACTGAACTATTCATCATGCTACATTTGTTTTGATTCGATGTTGGGCTTAGCATCAACCACTGGAGAGTTAAGAGTGCCACTGCTATCTCTGGCCTCAGTGAACTTGGCAGCATTTGAGGCACGGCGTATTAAGGAAATTACTCTAGGGACTGCTTTAGCCGCTTTGAGTTTGAATAAGCGTACGTATTTGATACATATACAGCTTGTGCACATACGCCAAGGCTCTCTCGCGCGTACACTCCCATGCACATGCATGCGCACAAGCGCACTGCACAGGACTCATTCGGTTCACATTCGAAAGGGCCGTGTTCGACTCCCGGGCAGGACAAAGACGTTTGAGCATGTTTATTTTCACCTGACACTTCCGTTCACCCAATAGGAGAGATGTGGCCGGGAGTTAGGCAACTGTTAGGGGGTTACATCCATAAAGCGTTATGGCCTAAGGAAACCTCGATCAGTCTAATAGGCTTTCGATTCCCGACAATAGAACACACACACACACGAACAAACAAAGAGACATGATCAGCACATACAAAATTCTCAGGGGGAATTGACAGGGTAGAGAAGGATGGATTATTTAACACGGGTGGTACACGCACAAGGGGACACAGGCAGAAGCTGAGTACCCAAATGAGCCACAAACACATTAGAAATAACTTTTTAAGTGTCAGAGTAGTTGGTAAATGGAATGCACTAAGTGATGTGGTGGAGGCTGACTCCATACAAAGTTTCACATGTAGATATGATAGAACTCGAGAAGCTCAGGAATCTGTACCACAGTAGATTGACGATTGAGAGGCGGGACCAAAGAGCCAAAGCTCAACCCCCGCAACCAAAACCAGGTGAGTACACACACTGGAAGAGCCGGACAGATCACCAGTGGATCTGACAGCATACTATACCTGCGTGACACAGTGCTAACTGCCAATTAAGTAGTCACACCATCCTACATATTTGGCATGCCAAATTACAACCTATTATAATGAGCAAAAAAAGGGGGGGTGAAGCTTGAAGAATATAATGCATAAAAGCTTACCATAAAGAAGCTTGTGCTTATATAAAATATATACATCAAAATCGAAAAGAACAAATATTAAAAAAAAGATATACAAAATAGAGGAACATATTGCACAAAATTCTTTTCTCTTGTAAAGTTTTCCAAAAAGTTGAAACAAAAATTAACTGAGCGGCAACTTGTGAGTGAGGGCGAGAACCCAATCAAGAGACGCACAGTATGGGTGGAGGACGGGAAGGGAGAGGAAGGGAAGGATGGAGAGGAAGGGAAGGATGGAGAAAGGGAAGGGTGAGAGAGGGAAGGACAGGAAGAACATGAACTCCTTGTGTTGGACCAGAGTCCAACACAAGGAGGTACATCAGCTTCTACAGGTGCAAATAAAATTACCATAAACAGATGACCACTGGAGAGCCAGAATACCCAATTATCCCAGTCATAATTGACCAACAAATTGATTCACTGAGGTTACACTGAATCTCCTCTCTTACTGCTTATCCTTTACCGAAGAAGCGTCTTGACCCCATGGGGTCAAGTGAATGACACGGTCTTCACTTGACCCCATGGGGTCAAGTGAATGACACGGTCTTCACTTGACCCCATGGGGTCAAGTGAAGACCGTGAATAGCCCGAATTTCTAGGTGGGGGCAGCATGCAAGCAATGCAAGAATCTTGGGTTCCCCAGTTAATTTAGGAAATTGAACGACGATAAGGTAACAGTTGTTCTTTGAGTTAGGGATACACCTGATTACAAATTAATGTGTACTAGGTAATGTCTCGAACAGGCGACGAACTGGAAGTATGCTATTTGTCGACTTTCCCAGAAAGAACTCCTGTCTTTCCCTTTCTCTTAGCGTGTGACCAAGAGCACTATGGAACTGTAGTTGTCAGAGTACTCCAACTTGGTCAGCCAGAGGAGCATGTTTCCTCATACTGGGATGTGGATGCCTGAGAGCCAGCACTGAACACCTCAGTGTGAGAGGAAAGTATTGTCTATTCCCAAGCGAGTCTCGTCTTGAAGAGTTAGAGTCTGTGGAAGCCTCCAGTAAATGAGGATTCAGTGTAGGCCATATTTCGTCAGAAAAAGATACTTGAAAGTACATGGAGTCAATGTTATATATACAAATCTGTCCCAGACGCGTCTCTCTCTCTCTCTCTCTCTCTCTTACTTTTGGAGCACTGAGGCTTCAATCTTTGTGACTCTGAAGTGATGCAAGGGCAGGCAATTTGCAATCTGTCTCTTGTCCTCACTGTGTCTATGCTTTTTTTCATCGATTTTGCAAATGGAACTTGTGAACATGTTCGCTTTAATTAAAACCAACCTGGACAGCTGTGAACTCTGACAATCACCTGACAAGAGGAATGAAGCCAGGGTGGACAGCTGGGACTGCTGACTCCTCTCCTCTTTCTTGAGTGGCTTCACAAGCCAGGCTCAAACGCCATCCGGGTTATGGGAGAAGCTCTAGCATGCTTTCTCTCCCGGACAAGGCAAAGCATTTTATTGGGTATGTAGAAAACGAGGCAGAAAGAGAGAGAGAGAGAGAGAGAGAGAGAGAGAGAGAGAGAGAGAGAGAGAGAGAGAGAGAGAGAGAGAGAGAGAGAGAGAGAGAGAGAGAGAGAGAGAGAGAGAGAGAGAGAGGGAGAGAGAAAGAGGTGGGGGGGAGGAAGGAAAATAGGAGAAAAAGAATATGAAGAAAAAAATATGTGCAGTGAAGGGGGAAAGAGGAAGCGGAGAGAGAAAGGGGAGATGGGATTAGAGGGAAGAGAAGAGAGGAAATTGGGAAAGGGAGGGATGGAGATGAAGAGGGGGATTAAGGGAAACGGAAGAATGAAGATGGAAGAATTATAGAAAGCGGAATTATTCATCAATAAGTTCTGAAAGGCAGTAACTAGGTATTATTACCGTCACGTGACAAATATTCATCTAATCCTTTGATTAAAACAGAAAACGGGACAGTACGTCACTTTCGCGAGCAACTTCCATTTTCGAGCACGACAATTTCTGGCCATATGTAACGCATACGATCGAAATCGACGTTCTTTTGTAAAAAGGCTAGGGGGGGGGGGGAGATGAGCGTCTGCTCCTGCCTCGAAAGGTCCGTCGGAGGGTTCACAGAGTTTACAATCTGAGAATTCTGGTAGTGGCTCAGCCTCACTAACCTGACTCCAGCCACAGACGAGAGAAGGGGTTGAAACAAGCCGAGCAGGAAGCAGAGAGAGTGAGGGGAGACTCCTGTATCACTCACCATCCAGCGAGATGGGAACCTTTCAGTTCTACCTCTTAGGGTCTTGTCAGGTCAGGTTGGGGTCAGGTCAGGTTGGGTTATGTTAGGTTGCCTTGGGTCTTGTCGGGTCAGGTTGGGTCATCTCAGGTTAGGTTCGTGTATATAGAGTAGCGATGATGTAGAGGGGTGCATACTTCCCTCAGGTTAAAGACCCTACATGTTGGACAGGTACAATCATTACGGACAGGTAGTTTTCTACAGGGAGGTAATTAAGACAGGTGGAGGAGGGGCAGGTATGGGGGGTGAGAGAATATGGTGGTGGGTAGGATTAAAATAAAAGGGGAAGAGAAAAGAAAGGGAGAGGCAGGAGAAAAGTTCCGGACGAGGGAAGAAATGAGGAAGGAGGAACTAAATATCTGAAGGAGAGACAAATAGAAAGGTGAGTTTAAAGATGAAGAAAGGAAGAGGAAAGGAAGGGAAGATATATGGGTAAAGATGGAGCGAGGAGAACAAGGCTGAAGGAGAGGAAGGAGATGAAGACTCGTCAATCCGTCACTCAAAAGGCCGTCCCCAAACACTTACCTTGAGGTTACCTAGAGGTGCGTCCGGGGCTTAGCGTCCCCGCGGCCCGGTCGTCGACCAGGCCTCCTGACCTCCTTAAGTCATATTCACCACACGGCACGACCAAAACTGGTATTATCTCAAATCCTAATTAATGATTACATTTATGACTGTATATAAAGTTAGAATTAGATCAAATTAGGTGTTTTGGTTAGACTAAGTCAGAACAGGTCTAGCATGGTTAGGCCTAAGCTTGGTTATGTTATTTGATGTGCTGTTAGTTCCAATGACAATTATTTGCATTTAATATATATGAGTGGAGGTAAATGTGTTTAATAGAGATAAACGAGAATATAGAAATGGAGTGAAGTACCATCGAGGGAAACACCGGAATTTGTTAGTAAACTAGCATCTAAAAGGGCCATCAAGGTAAAGTACCAGGAGAAAGCACTAAGCCATTACGATTATATAGCAATTGTAAGATATACGAGGATAAGGATTTGGGATGGGACGGAGGGAAGGAATGGTGCCCAACCACATGGACGGTTGGGGATTGAACGCCGACCTGCGGGACCGTCGCTCTACCGTCCAGTTCACAATGTACTGATCAAAATATTAGAAATTCTTAATTTAACTTAAAATAAACAAGACCATGTTCAAAGCAATGTCGAGAACAGTTTCAATCACATCCAGACTGTATTGTAAGTTAACCCTTAATGAACGTCTATCTTGGGGCTACCTTGAGATGATTTCGGGCCTTAGCGTCCCCGCGGCCCGGTCCTCGACCAGGTCTCCTTTTTGTTACACATCCCCCAGGAAACAGTCCGTAGCAGCTGTCTAACTCCCAGGTACCTATTTACTTCTAGGTGAACAGACGCATCAGGGTGAAAGAAACCTGCTTATTTGTTTCCGTCTCCACCGGGGATCGAACCCGGAACTTCAGGACTACGAATCCCGAGCGCTCTCCACTCAGCTGTCAGGCCCACACGTCACCAAAATAACTGAGCAAATCTTACGTAGGTCTAACGATGCATTTGAGAAAATCTTATTTGCTGTCTGCCATACGAAACGTATGACTTGCATATATGGCAATCAGCTGATTGCCATATTTGCATGTCAGTATTTTGATTTATAGCTTAGGGTGGAGGGTTAGGGTGAGTTTTTGAGTCAAGTGAGAGTAACAAATGGTTCAGACGCTCGATGCGTGCGATGTATAATGTTGATTCGTCAACAACCTCATCCTTTTGATGCTTCCTCATCATCCTCCTCATCATCCCCCTCCTCATAACCCCCCCTCCATCCCCACCCCTCCTTGCCCCGTGCCGTATTTCTTATCACATTTGACGGCCGTCAATAAAACGAGGTTCTCGAGCGCATCACTTCGACCCTATGGAGACAAACCTTCCAAAGTATCAACCGTGTTCTCCGGCGTGCAATACAAATGCTCCAAACGACACGAACTCCGCAAGAAGCCCTGAAACGTGACGAAAACAGATGGCTCAAGAGCTTTGTGGGGGAAGTATTCAGAGTGGACTTGTGTTGTCTCTCTGAGAGCCTCCACGGCGTGCCCGGCCCCCTGCCTCCAGCTTGTATCTGTAATGAAACTCTCTTCTCTTCGTGAGGACCAGTTCAATGGTGAAAGTTGGATCATAACGACCCAACCATCGCTTGTACTGCTCCCCGAGGGCGCTCATTGCTGCTGGGACGGAGATGGAAAGGGGGAAAGAGAAAGAGAGAGAGAGAGAGAGAGAGAGAGAGAGAGAGAGAGAGAGAGAGAGAGAGAGAGAGAGAGAGAGAGAGAGAGAGAGAGAGAGAGAGAGAGAGAGAGAGAGACTACCCCGGGCACTGCTGGGTACCTCTCAAGTATATATATATATATATATATATATATATATATATATATATAGATATATATATATAATATATATATATATATATATGTGTGTGTGTGTCATACCTAGTGCACTTCTCGGCCTACTATGCAACGCCCGATTTGCCTAATAGGCCGAGTGATTTTCTTTATTTTTAATAAATTGTTTCCAATTAGTTTATTTGAATTATTATTATTATATTATATTAAGAACATAAATTATTGACTTAATTGTGTTAGTTTAGGATAGGTTAAGATAGGTTAGGTTAGGCAGGGTTGGTTAGGTTCGGTCATATATCTACATTAGTTTTAACTCAAATTTGAAAAAAATTAACTCATACATAATGAAATAGATAGCTTTATAATTTCATTAGAAAAAAATTAGAAAAATATATAAATTCAAGAAAACTTGGCTTATTAGGCAAATTAAGCTTATTAGGCAAATAGGGCCTTGCATAGTAGGCTGAGTACTGCGTTCTGGCTACTAGGTACACCATATATATATATATATATATATATATATATATATATATATATATATACATATATATATATATATATATATATATATATACCATCGGTTTCACTTTCAAATGCTTTTATTCCCTCTAACGTTACTTAACGTTACGGTTATACAGATGTGCACATCCGTTTTAAACTGGTCAGTAGTTACAGTTAGCGTATAGACCCGTATTGATTGGTCAGTTATGCTCATTTCATGTCGTCTCATTCAAGACTAAGGTATACCCAACTGCTCTGCGTCGTTCCTGACTGCCTCTTGCCACTCCCTCCACCACCCCAACATGGCCTTTGTTTACATGCTGTTGTGGTTGGGAATTTATGGCCCTCACCATGTAGCTTTTTTTTCCTTTATATATTCCTGCCATGGTTATTCCTACCTCCCCTTTTGTAGTATACTAGTCCACCCTCTCCCCCCATTTTAGTATACTCCTCCATTGTGGTATACTCCACCCCCTCGATCCTCCCCTATAGACATACGTCATCTGAACTCCGCCCCCATTCGGACCCATCCCTGTTCCTCGACCGCATTCAATTTGCATAATGATTAGAGTAGATGACGCCGCTGCGAGCACTAAATCAACCAAGGTGTCGTGTTTTGTAAGGTTTTAAATCCTGACCCACTCATTAAACACCCATCAACCCTCCCCCTCCCCCTCCCCCCTCCCATCCCTGATCACCCCGACCCTCAACCCCCTCTACCAATTCCACAAGCCAAGCCATTCGCTCTATTTTTCTCTATTTCAGTCACCCCTCCACACACTTCCCCCTACACAATGCACCTGCTCCTTCCTTCTATAGGTATCCTTGGGAAGTGGGGAGGGTAGATGGAAGGTTAGGGGGGGGGGATAGAGAGAAAGGGATCGGAGGGGGTGGGGAGGGGAGGTTGATGGAAGGGGAAGGGAAAGCCCGCTGGAAGACATTGTGCCCTCAAGTCGAGCGACTCTTCGGGCTAAAATCACAAATATAACAATCTACAAGCAGCCCTTAAGGTGGGTGTGGGGTTGCTGATGTTGTCTCCTCGCTCGCTGGCTCAGCCTAGGTCAACAGATGTTCTTTCTTGTATTAATTTCCATACAAACAACATGTTTTCGCCATTTCAACGTGTTCCACCTAAAAAAAAAAGGAAAAACCAACAGCAACAACTTGTTTGTTGCCTTAGGGGGAGGAGCGAGCGAACAGTTGTAGCGAGCGATTTAAGCTCTTCACGCAAGTCGAAAAATACTTCTTAAATGATGCGATTTTTTTTGCATAGAGCGACTGCAGCAGTTTAAGGATTAACCACATAACCAGTAACCTAATTATCGTTTTATTATGAATATTAGCATTACATAGCCAATAACTTTGTGGGGTAAAATGCACTTGGAGAAAATAAATTTGGCCACCATTCCATTGTGGCGAAACTCATGTGACAGAAATTTGTGTCGTATGCATCACTGGTAACACAGGATTCAATATTTGTAAACACTTTTGAAAAATGCAATTGTTTAGTTTACCCTAAATGCTTAGACGGTACCCCTAAAGAGCCCCAGTTCAGGGCCTTTCAGGAGTGAGGTCTCCAGTTCCTTTTTTTTTTTAGGGTAACGCTGTCACAGTTAAAGAGTTGGGGAGGTGGTGGGTAAGGGATAACGGGATAGGGGTATAAAGGTTTCATTACCCCTTGATACAGGTTGCTAATAGAGGGGTAAAGGGAGGCTCTAGTACCCCTTGATCTAGGTGGTGGAGAATGGGCAAAGGAAGGCACTGAGACCCATTTGGTCCATGTTCTGGGAGTGGGATAATGGAAGGCTCTAGTGCCCCCTCCCCCTCCCCCCCCTCGCAGTAAGTGATAGAAAATAAATCTGATCAATACTTTCAATGGCGCCGTGAGCCGGTGTATGGAGAAATATTCACGTGTTTACAACGTCGGCTCCATGTAGTGTCCTCTGCGCAGTGTCCATCCTCCATGTAGTGTCCTCTGCGCAGTGTCCATCCTCCATGTAGTGTCCTCTGCGCAGTGTCCATCCTCCATGTAGTGTCCTCTGCGCAGTGTCCATCCTCCATGTAGTGTCCTCTGCGCAGTGTCCATCCTCCATGTAGTGTCCTCTGCGCAGTGTCCATCCTCCATGTAGTGTCCTCTGCGCAGTGTCCATCCTCCATGTAGTGTCCTCTGCGCAGTGTCCATCCTCCATGTAGTGTCCTCTGCGCAGTGTCCATCCTCCATGTAGTGTCCTCTGCGCAGTGTCCATCCTCCATGTAGTGTCCTCTGCGCAGTGTCCATCCTCCATGTAGTGTCCTCTGCGCAGTGTCCATCCTCCATGTAGTGTCCTCTGCGCAGTGTCCATCCTCCATGTAGTGTCCTCTGCGCAGTGTCCATCCTCCATGTAGTGTCCTGCGCAGTGTCCATCCTCCATGTAGTGTCCTGCGCAGTGTCCATCCTCCATGTAGTGTCCTCTGCGCAGTGTCCATCCTCCATGTAGTGTCCTCTGCGCAGTGTCCATCCTCCATGTAGTGTCCTGCGCAGTGTCCTTATTCCATGTAGTGTCCTCTGCGCAGTGTCCATCCTCCATGTAGTGTCCTCTGCGCAGTGTCCTTCCTCCATGTAGTGTCCTGCGCAGTGTCCTTATTCCATGTAGTGACGGATTACTACTATCTTTCTCTCCCCTCATGTATCTGAACACAACTATCCCCTCCTCCTCCCCGAAGCAGTGGGAGATTTTTGTAAAGCCCACACCAAGCCTCCTCAAAAATGTCCTTAGGGTGATATACGCCTCGTCTCAAGGTTGACCTCGGGATCAAGTGTCACTTCTCATACCCACCCCTCTGGTGGAGTTTATATAATGCACGGGCAGGCCCACAAGCGCTCTCCCGCACAACAAGCACTTGTGGAGAGAGAGAGAGAGAGAGAGAGAGAGAGAGAGAGAGAGAGAGAGAGAGAGAGAGAGAGAGAGAGAGAGAGAGAGAGAGAGAGAGAGAGAGACAGAGAGAGAGAGAGAGAGAGAGAGAGAGACAGAGGGGCTAGCAAGGTAGAAGCTGGGCCGTGTCCACTTCAACACAGACATTTGTCTTCATGTATAACACTTCAGACCTGGGAAGTAACAAAAGAAAATTTACACTTGAGGAGTATTTTACTTCCCTAGAGATATTTATTACTGGCGGCGCCCAGGAATATAAGGCTGTGAAGGTGGGGTATGTGGTAGGGGGGTGGTGGTGTGAGTTGTGGAGAGCAGTGCTCCCAGTGTGAAGGAGTATGAGTTAGTGGGGTATGAGTATGAGTAAGGGTGCCAGTGAGTCTAACACCTCATCTACACATCTTGTGTAAAGGAGGAATGTATATGTTTATCTCTCAGAATGTTCAGTAATATGTTTATTGTTTGTCTATGTATGTATTAACACGAGGTACTGAACGGGGTGAGAATAGCTTGAGCTACCTCATCCCTTTGTGTGTATTTTACCTCAATAAACTTATTTCAATTTCAATTCAATTTCATCTACACATACCAATGCACACATGAAGCCTCGAGGTAAAAACGTTATTACCCCCTTCATTAATGCCAAGTACCTGAATTCAGATATATTCTGGTATGTATGTAAGTATATGTTTATATGTATGTGTTTGAATGTATGTATATATATGAATACATGTAAGTACGTAACGGGGATAAAGCAGTAAACAGATAGATGGAAAGATGACAATCTTCTGACTGTTCGAAGACTTTTGATAAACAAAAGAAACTCTCAACCTTGGCCAACATCAACCCCCTAAAGCCTTAACCAACACCAACAACACATCAATGTGATCACCATCAATGTTATCACCATCAATGTCATCATCACCATCAATGTTATCACCATCAATGTCATCACCATCAATGTCATCACCATCAATGTCATCACCATCAATGTTATCACCATCAATGTCATCACCATCAATGTTATCACCATCAATGTCATCACCATCAACAAAGACATAACAGACACTGGACAGGTAACGTGGGCAATTAGCAGCAGCGTGCAGGAGACGGGGCCAGGAGCTACAATCACCTTCCATAAAACAACAATCATAGTGATAATCTCATTACTCGCGTATATTGTTATATTTCTTAGCTTCCAATTATCAGTAATTGCCTTCTTGCGTTCTGATAGCGGCGTCACGTATGAGGGAGATAGTCTCATTATAATTAAGGACGCTCTGAGGAACGTAATTTATTTGGTAAACAAGTGTTAGTCCGCTAGTTAGTCATAATTAACTAGCCAGATAAACTAGAGTAATTCCTAGTTCA